ATATAAATAGATAATATATCAATCATTGTTAATCAGCTAAACTGCCCTTAAAATCCTTCTAAATAGCATTTAAAAATATGCTGATATTAATCTTTAGCGATGACATGCTTTGTTTTGGGGGTTGTGCTGGGGATAGAATTCAAAACTTTGTGCATGCTAAGCAAGAGCTCTACCATTGAGCTACATCCCCATATCCTAACACATTACACAATTTTGTGCAGGAAACATTCAAGATGTTTGTAGCAATCAAAAATTAAAGTACATTTCTGAATTATCAAGCTACTTAGTGATGATAATGGTTATTAAAAAGTCTTCAAACTATTAAAATCTGGTTTTGAAACACATATACATAGAGTAAATGTATTATGTGTATTTGTATGAGCGTGGATGTTAGGACACAGAAGTACTTTACAAACTAATCATTCTTAGATGAAAGGATGCAATCAATTGAAACGAAATCAAACAAACTGGCTATTTTTGTTGACTTCCCTAAACTTGTTCCACTGCTAAACCATGCAGGACATACTGCACTGTCCAGCTGATATAACAGAATGTTTTTCTAGAACAGACACAATGCTGTCGTGGAATAAATTTTTAACCACATCATATCTGATGTCAGAAAGTAAAGTGGAATTAGAAACATGTTAATACCAAAGAAAAGTTTTAACATTTTTTTAAAAATTAAAAATTTACAGTTTTAATATCAGCTTTTGTAGACATTGAATCAATATGGTAATAATCATTTGTGTTCACACCTCATGCATATGTCATTTGGGTAATTTTATATTCAGCATTTTAAATAAATTTGACAATATTTTGAGGCTATTTTCTTTTTTTTTCTGGAACCGGGGATTTGAACTCAGGCCCTTGAGCTTGCCAGTGAAGTGCTTATTCCACTGAGTCATGTCCTCGGCCCCAGAGGCTACTTTCTATCAATGGAGCTAATTCCTACTTTACAGTATTGCTGTGAGAATCAAAAATAACATATTCAAAATATGTGACATATGGTAGCTGAACAAAAATGTCAGTTGTTTTCACTTTGTTCTGTATGTATCTTACTACAAATGAAAATCTAATTCAATAGCTTAGTCAAACTATTGTTTTCAGTAGTTAAATATTAAGTATGTCCTAGGTGTATTCTAACTAGAATGTTCTCAACAAAAGAATGAAAACTGCCCTACTAGATGTCCTAACTTAATATAAACTATTAGTAATTAAAATAGTACAGTATGGTATTAATATAAGAACTGACAAATGGGGTAAAAGCTCAGAGGATTTGAAGAGAAATCCTACTGATTTGTAGTAGAGAAAGAATGAGTTGGGCAAGAAATGGCTGTCCATATAAAAAAAATAAAATAATGAAATTATGATCCCAATTCATTTCATCATCCAAACGAAACAACCAAAACCCCAGGCTGTTAAGAGACCAAACTTTGTAAAGATGTTTGAAAACAAAACAAAACAAAAATCTTGAAACAGAAGAATACTTCATAATTCTACTTCTTAGCTTGGAAAAGAATAAAAGAAAAATATCTTAAGTAAATATAAAAACCTGTATTTGATAAAAGTATGAAGATAAAGACTGGCAAATAACAGGGAGAAACATGAGCAAGAAAAAAATAGAAAAGGAAAGTGAGAAACTGAACAATGAAGAAAAAAAGATATATACTATAAATGACCAATATATACATGAAAAGATGTTTGATTTCACTGATAATCAGCAAAAATGGAAATTTTAAAAGCAGAAACCATTTAATACAGACAAAATCTCTTGAGGCCTTACATTTAGTAGTAAGCACACAGTAGAGTAGAACTGTTAATCATTGCTGTTGAAATAGTGTAACATCTACTTTACAGACTGTTTAACAATGACATGTTTTATTTTGGGGTGATGCTATATACTATGCTATGTACTATGTACTATATATGAAATATATAGTATACTACATATAATACATTGTATACACTGTATACTATATACTATATATATATATACTATATACAATATGTATATAGTATAACTATATTATTGTCTATGATCCAATAATTCCATATCTTACACATACTCACTGTATATATCATAGTCCAAATATTTGTGACAGCACCTCAATAATCTGGATTAATACTGTGTGGTAGAGTCATGCAAAAGAATACTTACTGGTATTAAAAGTAATACATATATTTAGACTATCTCAAAACAGTAAAATCATGATTCTGCAACATTACTTATATGATATTTCATAATTGAAACAAAACACTATTTTATATAGATCCATGAATACATGTATTTATATTAAAAATATACTAAAAATTCAGACACCTTAAATTCATAGTAGCTATTATCTTCAATATTTACTATATTGTAATTTTTTTCTAAAAACAGAAAACACAGTATTACCAACTGTCAATTCTGAGTGAGAATTAAGTAGGTATTTTTTATATAAAACTAATGAAGATTATCAATAAGATAATTGTTTTCTTTTTATCTATTTAAATATTTATGAAAATTATTAAATGAATTCAACATGCTACATATATAAAGTAAACAAATGAAACCAATTCCAGGGCAGGTAAAGACGCCTATAAAGCTTTTGAGTAAAACGTACCTCAACAATGAGGTAAACATTTTTAATATTTAACATCTTTTACATAATTGCTAAAGTGAAATCTGTCCCCTTAAATAGTGTATTTCTAATTTCATAGCTAAACTATCATGAAATCTTTCATTTCAGTACTGAAAAAGTAAGTTAAAAAGTACAAATCCTAAAATAAACCAACTAACCTGTATGGGTTCTTCTATGTCTCTGAAGCTCATCACTCCTTGTGAATCTCTTGCCACAAAACATCCAGTTGCATATAAAAGGTCTTTCTCCAGTATGCCAGCGGAGATGTGCTCGTAGGTGAGATGTTTTGCCATAAACCTTTCCACACCCTTCAATGTGACAAATATGCTGTTTCTTTTTTCCTGGTTCATTACTGCCTCTAACAAAAACCGAAACCAAAATCAAACATTAATTACACTCCCCAACCTAAGCTTATAATCATGGGGGAAAAAAGGGAAATCAAGGTAATTAAATGTGCTTTCCTGAATAGATGTGTTTGATCCTAATGTCACAACTGTGATTATACAGTTTAAAAAAATTTCATTTGAAGAAAACAGAACTCTATGTGCAAAACAAAACTGCTATTAAAATGTGTTAAAGGCAATTCAAATTTCCTCCCTACAAAGCTCTTCTGTTGGTTTAAAAAAAGGAAAAAAGGAAACTAAGCTTTTCAAGATACTGTAATATTCTGTTTAAAAACCAAAGGATGACTAACTCCTAAGGTGCGGAGTTTGCATTTCCAGCAACAGAGTATGAAGAGACTCATCGACGGTTTCAAACAAAGCTGATGAAAATTGTAATACAACACAAGTTTTTCAAATGGTTGTATGAACAAGTAACAGTACATAAACACGTTTGTTAAAGAAAATCTAAGAGAACTGAGGAAGGACAGTAGGAGTCTGGTATTTGTATCAAGACTTCCTTCTTTCTCTCACCGCTATGCCACAGAAACATTAGAGGACACAGAAAATAGGGCTCCCTCTCCTCTCACCATCCAGTTAGAGGGCTATCGAGACTGGTGATTTTATATTTATCTGTAATCCCAGCTACATGTTTCAGGTGAGTGTGGCTGAAAGGTAGAGACTTGCTTTTCCCACCTGGCTCTCATATCTGGGACACATGCTCTATCATGGTCATGGTTCCATGAAATGTTATGGTCTAGACTGCCCTTGATTTGTGCCATTCATGATCCATAAATTGGAGTGTCTAAGTTGGGGGAAACAAACTAAGATGACAGGAGGTTATTGATGGCCTTATCTATCATCAGTCATACACCTCCTAAAATAGGATCATCCAGAGAGAAACATGCCAATGCTTCAGTTTCTAGCTCCAGAGTATTATCAACATCCAAACGAGGTAAGATACTAGACAAAAGAAATCCATAGGCTAATGTAACCCATAAGTACAAATGCAAAAATTCTCAGTAAAATACTGGCAAACTGAAGCTGGCAATGTATAAAATGAGTTACAGGGCTGGCCAGATAACTCAGTGGACTAAAGTGCCTGCTTAGGTAGGCACAGAGATCAGGGGTTCAATCCCAGGCATGCCTTGCCAGCCCCACCCCTGGGCACACTGAGACAGCAATAGAGACTGGGCATGGTAGCATGCGCCTATAATCCCAATGCTTGGGAGGCTGAAAACAGGAGGATCACTACAATTCTGATCTGTGTAGTGAGGCCCTATAGACTCTGCACTAAATACATAAAAATTGTAATAATAAAAAAAAATTAAAATGAGTTCTACATCATAGCCAAAAGATGTAAATCAGGAATGCAAAAGTGAAACATGTGGCAACCAATTAATATAATATACTGATAGAACAAAAATAAAAATCACAAGATCATAATCAAACATCCTCCATGATATACTTAGCAAAACAGGAAATGAAGGGAGTTATCTCAACTTAATTAAGGACCCCAGAACTAATGTTGCACTTGATGGTGAGGAAATAGATACTTTCCCCAAGGAAAAAAAAAGGTATGTACTTTCGCCACTTCTATAGAACACTGTATGGGAGTTTCTAGACATGGCAATTAAAAAGAGAAAAAAAGAAAACCCTAAAACTCGAGTGAAAAAGCAAATTAAACTGTCTTTATTCACAAATACGATCTTACAGATATCCGAAGGCATAATGGCAAACCTCTTCATGATACAAAGAATCTATATGCCATAGGTTCACCACTACTGCTCTAAGAGATCCTACTCAGTTTGATGGTGCACACCTGTAATCCCAGCACTCAGGAGACTGAGGCAGAAGAACTGTTGCAAGTTTGAGGCCAGCATAAGCTACAATTACACAGTGAGTTCAAGGCCAGTCTTAACTATACAGTGAGACCCTGTCTCCAAAAAATAAAACATCCAAACAAACCAACCACCCAACTACCCACAAAAGAAAAAAAAAAATCCTAAGGAATCTTATTTAAAAAACTACTAGCACTAATGAAAAACCCAGGAAAAGTTGTAGGATGTAACACTAATACATTATGATTTAAGTATTAAAATTTCCCCTTTTGGGGTCAGAAGTGGGGCTTTAGAAGATGACTGGATTATGGGGTGCTATACTCATCAGTGGGGTATGCAGTCAGGTGAGATCAACTTGGAGGAGTATGTCACTCAGATCATGCCCTTGAAGGTGTATCTCCCTCCTTGCTCCTTTCTGGGTGCTGAGAGGTCAGCAGCTTCCTGTGCCATGCCCTTTCCCCACAACATTTTCACCTTGGAGTCAACCAACCATGGACTGAATCTTCTGAACTGAGAGCCCAATTAAACCTCTCCTCCTTTAAGCTGTGGCTACCAGGTACTGTGTTCCACCAATGGGAAAGCTGTCAAATACAATATACAAAAACCAATGTATCTCTGTACATTTGGAATGAACAATCAAGAAAACGGTTTCAGAGCCAGGGAGATGGCTCAGTAGAATAAGCACTTGGCTGGCAAGTGCAAGGACATGAGTTCAATCCCCAGTTCCGCCAAAAAATAACAAAAAAAAAAAAAACAAAAACGATTTCATTTATACCACTTATCAAGAAGAACAAAGATGAAATAATTTAAAATCTGCAAAGCATTAAAAACTATTTTACTAAGCAGTAAAATACTGATGAAAGAAATTAGTAAAGATCTAAATGAATAGCATAGATTAAAAAAAACAACATGGCTAAGTTGGCTATGGTCTCCAAGCTGAAATTCCCACCCAAATTCCACCTGGCATCCGTGACACTAAAATTCACACAGAATATGAAATGCTGCTAAATATGCAAAGTAACTCTGAAGAATAACTAAGCTGGAAGATACACATTTCTCAATTTCAAGGTATTATGAAGCTAAAGTAATCAAGAGAGTGTGGTACTAGCAAAAAGATTAACATACAATGAAATAGGATTGAGAGTCTGGAAATAAACCTAGATACCTATGGTCAATTGATTTTTGACAGAGGTACCATAACTATTCAAAGAAGAGACAGTCTTTTCAATAAATGTTTTGATGAATCCTTACCTCACAATTATAACTAAAAGTTGACCAAAGAGCTAACTATAAAAGCAAAAGTATAAAACTCAAAATGAAACTAGGAGTCTTCATAACCTTAGAACTAGCAATGGGTTTTTAGGTAGGACACCAAAAGCAGACACCACCAAAGGGGTGGTATTAAACATTAAAAACTGTTGTGTTTCAAAAGACACCATCAAAACCATGTATCTGCCCCCAGGGCGCACTGAACCCTTGATTGAGACTGGGTGTGGTGGCCCATGCCTGTAATCCCAGCATCTAGGAGGCTGAAAACAGGAGGATCACTACAGTGTAGTGAGACCCTGTAGATCCTGTATTAAATACATTAAAAAAAAAGACCAGATGAAAACATCTTTTCAATAGGAAGTAATATTTATAAGTAATATACCTCATAAGGAACACAGATGTAGAATACATGTATCTATATATCTGTATCTGTATGTATTATAAATGAATAGTGAGAAAGAATGCAATAAAAATAGGGAAAGGATATTTCTCAAAGCATATATAAATGATCAAAAACAAATGAAAAAATGTTTAATATTATTAATCATCAAGAAAATTCCAATCAAATCACTGATACTACTTCAAATTCACTACTACAGGTATAATCAAAAAGTCAAAATAAACTTGGTGTGGTGGTGCATGCCTATAATCCCAGCACTCAGGAAAAAAGTCAGATGTTAATTACTAGCAGTGATATGAAGAAATCAGAACCCTCAAATACTACTGGTAGGAGTGTAAACTAGAACAGCCACTTATACTTCTTTTTTTTTTTAATTTATGTGTGTGTGTGTGTGTGTGTGTGTGGCCAGCTCAGCCCACCAGGGGGTGGGCCTGGCTGGCATGTGGTGTTGGGGGATTGAACCGTGGTCCCTGTGTTTTGCTAAACTTGTTCTAAGTAGGTGCTTTAGACCACTGAGCCATCTCACCAGCCCGCCACTTATACTTCTGTACAAATATTTACAGTAGCATTATTCACAGAGATTAACTGGGGAAAAAATGCCCAACAAGTTATGAGATAAACAAAATGCTATATGTTTGTAGAATGGACTATTATGCATCCATAAAAGAAATTAAGTATGCATTATGATATAGGACTGAATCTTGACAGTATAATGCTAAATGAAAGAAATAATCACAAAAAAACACATACTGCATGCCTTCATTTATTATGTCCAGAACAGGTAAATCTACAAAAATAAAAATCATTTTAATGGCTGCCTATGGCTGGGAGGGCTGGGGAATTGGTAAAAACTGATGGCTAAAAGATACAAGATTTCTTCTAAGGATGACAAAAATGTTCCAAAATTATGGTGATAACTGTACAACTCTGTGACTACATTAAGAAGTATAGAATTGTATACTTTAAATGGATTAAAGATATCTAGGAGATAGTTTTATATCAACAAGGATGTTTACATTTTTTACATAGTGAATTAAAGAATTCATTAAAAAAAATACATGATGTCCAAAAGCAGAAGACCTCTCAAATCTCACTTCTGAAATAGCTAATTTAACACCTTTTATATTGTAATTTCGGGGCTCCAAAGGCCCCAGTTATCAACAATTTCATTGTAACTATTTTATACCTTCCAGAGGGTGACAGCTAAAAACATATCACTTACCTTCCTTCTCCTTCCCGACAATTAGGACAGGAACAGGCAACTCTTCGAAGCCTCTTTCCAGGTTGTACCTCTTGATCAGAAGTCTGCTGGCCTTGCTGCAAATGCACTTGTGTGAGTTGGTCAGGACTAACAGCACCTATTGTCGCATTAGCAATTCCTCCAACTGCCACTGTTACAGGAGCTATAGTAGCTTGCTGGACTTTCACTCCATCTTGCCCTTGCTGCTGACCTAAAGTAGAAGAAAAACAGGGAGGAGTGTTATAATGTTTTCTGTTCCCCAAAATTAAAAAAAAATTCCACGTGAACATTTTAAAGCTATTATGATTGTTCTAATAATATGTGTAATGTAAAACAGGATTAATTTAATGACTTGTATTATAATAAAATAACCTTCCTAAACTAATTATTTTACTAGCTCAGTTGTCTCTTTCTTTTTTTAATGTTACTAAGGATTGAACCCAGAGTCTTATACATGCCAGGCAAGCACCCCCACTGCTTCTTTAAAAATTGTATTTTGAAACAGAGTAGTGCTAAATAACCAGGCAAGCCTCAAGTAGCTAGGATTACAACGGTGAGCCACCATGACTAGCTGGTGGCCTCTTGGTTTAAGTGACAGTATATAACATTCATTATGGGATGTTATATAATGGGACCATACATAAATCAATTGGGCCTCCTTGTAGTTTTTCTCTCCATCTGGAAAATGAAGTGAAAAGAGCTCGTCACCTTCATACTTCACTGAAATACTGAGAGGATTCATGAGACACTGAAAAGTACTCTGAAGTCCTCAGATGAAAAATGCTACACTAATACAATATACTGTTACCATTTCCGCAGTAAGCAACACAACTCATTTATATCAAGAATATTACAGGAGTGAAAAGTGTCTAAACAAAGGATTAAATTTAATGGATGTTTCCCATTTCTAAATTATTTAAAGAAACTTCTATTTATTGGTGAGCATTTTTTTTAAAAGTGCAGAGTTAAGTGTTTTCTTAAAATAAACCATCAACAAAAGTTATAAACTATCACTATAATAAAAAGTCATCCGTGGCATTATTATTTTATTCACTCATAATTTATAGCTAAGACTTCATCTTAGGTTCAGCTTTACTCAGGGAAAAACGTGATAATGCATAATATAATCAAAAATACATCTATTCAACTGTCTTATCTTGAACTACAACACCGGCCTTACAGCATGTTTTCCACAGAATCCTACATTCTCATTAGGTGTAGGAATGTCAAGTATGTAAATGGATTTAAAAAAAAAATATCAATGTGTGAAGGAAAGCTCCTACCTCAGAAAGTTGATGTAAGGAGTAAATACTTACAACTCCCTTACCACAGTTCATGGCACAGAATTGTTGATTATACATACATTAGCTATTGTTACCACTAGTTTCCACTGAGTTGGTAGCAATAAAGGATAAAATATGCAAGCAGAAACAAACTTGTGTCTCCCAGAAATAAAATAAAAGTATTTATTTTAAAACTTTACTTGGAGTACCTTAAATATACTAGCAACCAAGAAAAAAAAATTATTACGTAAGAAAACTGCACTCTTCTAAAAAACAAAAATGATTCTACTAGCCAAAGTTACTCAACTTCTTTTGTCTCCATAGCATTCTCAACTCTTTCAAGGCACCTAAAACTACAATATAAATACAATCTTCCTTTAGTATCCAACAGGATTGGGGTTCCAGGACTCTTGTCCCCCAATAATAACATCTAAAGATGGTAAAAAAGCAGTATTTACTATAACCTACTTACATCCCTCCATATACTTTAAATCACCTCTACACTACTCTGCTTAATAAACTACTCTGCTTAATGTAAATGCTATACTGTATTGAATACTGTACTATTTGCAGAATGACAAGTCTCTGTATTTTGTATAGCTCTACTTTTCCCTGAATATTTTTATCTGCCATAAGTTAAATCCAAAGACAGTGGTGGTAAATCTACGGCATGTGCTATCACTGAAAATTCTAAAAGATTCGCTATCACTGTCCTACAATGTGGATGATAGGTTCTGGCCCTAGTATGATAGCTGAATTATTACGGTGGTCATCTAATATGGCTGAAGCCCTTAAAACAACAGCTCATCTTCCCAGAGACCACCTCTCCCCTTCTTCTCCAACCCAGCCCAGGGTGTAATATCCTTCCACCTTTCCCACTGCCTCAGGGAAGGCCCCAGTCAGCTCCTCAGGTATTTCTAGACATCCCCCTCAAACTCTACCCCTAAGAAAAGTCCACCAAAGCCTCAGCTTTCTTTGTCTCAGGTCGGAGGATCTACCTGACCTATCTGCCCCTGATCCTTTCCGTGTTTTTGGTGTTAATTATCTTTCCTCTCTTTACTGTGCTGCTGAAAAATCTATCCTTCAGATACAATGGTCAATTGTAAGGAACAGTGAGAAGGGGAAAGTACACATATTTTTTTCATTTTTACTGTTTTAGTAATTTACATTTTAGTTTCTCTTTAAGTTTATAATTTCTTTCACCTTTGAGTCAGCATGAAATGTGAAGGTAAAATAAATGAAGTTAGAAGTTGTGAATTCATGACTGTACTGGAGATCCTTAGTTCCCTCACTTCTAAAATAACACTGACCTCCCGAAAATTCTTATCATGTTTCCTATTTTAAACAGTTGTTTCTGGGGCTGGGGAGATAGCTCAGTAGAATAAGCGCTTGCCTGGCAAGTGCAAGGGCCTGAGTTTAATTCCCAGTTCCACACACACACACAAAAAGGCTGTTCCTGAAGATCAAATTGATTTTCTGTGGGTAGCGGGATAATAAACTATAAAGCAATACAGAAATATAAACTATCATTATTATGCCTCTATGTCTCTTTTTTTTTTAAAACCGGGGATTGAACTCAGGCCCTTGCGCTTGCCAGGGAAGCGCTTATTCCACTAAGCCATCTCCCCGGACCCTGTATCTTTGAACACATAAAATTTTTAAATATTCTGTGAAAGATCCCTTAAAGATGATTATGGCTAAGCAAACTAATGCTTGTGCACCTAGATGTATAGTACGATGCTACATACACTTCCTATTTACTCTGCACAAAATAAAACACATTTTTTAAAATGGGGAGGTCCATGTGAATGAGGACTACATTCTTTATAGCATGGTATTATACCTGTGGTGATGCAGGTATTTAAATCTGGGAAATATTCTTTACATTTCCTGAAGTCATAAGGAGTTTTTTGACATACTTTTTTCCAGCTGCTGTTCATATAACAGCTGGTCATTCCTTTCTTGTTGCTGTGATGTTTAAGATGACCATCATTATTTTAAAGAACTGCAAAGGACTACGAGTTGCTGAGATTCCTTACATGTTCCTTACTAAACTCAAACCTCTACATTATGAACACTTGTTCAACATTTACACAACTTGGCAAGTGATTTAAATAAGTAATAGCAGGCAAATTATAGTTGAGTATATATATGTAAGTCTGAGCATACTTAGCTCTTCACCCATATGCATCACAGACAGCTAAGGTTCAACATATTACCTTTTCTTCATCTCCACTGGTACTAATATACCACCAAATCCTTACGAAGTCCGCCAAGCTCTACTAATTCTACTCAGGTTCTGAACCTCATCTTGTATCTTCTTTGCTCACTTGGCTCCTGATATTCTTCTAGCCCAGAGTAAATAAAATCATTTCTTTTTTAGGGCCTTTGCACATACTCTCATCTGGGTGGGAATGTCTTTGCACCTGGATCTTTGCATAGTTGGCTCTTTGGTAATATTCTGATCTCTGTTCAAATCTTTGCTTGTTGGAAATGCCATTCATGGGCTGGGGAGATAGCTCGGCAGTGTAAGTGCCTGCCTGGCAAGCGCAAGGACCCAGGTTTGATTCCCAGTACCACATGCTATGTCAGTCCTGTAACCAGACTTAGTGGTACACATCTGTAATCTCAGAGCTGGGGAGGCTGAGATGGTAGGGTCACTATGAGTCTGAACTGTGTAGTGAGATCCTGTACCAAATAAATAAATAAATGACTTTTTAAAACATTAAAAAAAAATACCATTCATGATCATACCATCAAAAAGAGGTCCCCTTAGGGACAGGGAGATAGCTCAATATAATAAGTGCTTGCCTGGCAAGCACAGGGTCTTTAGTTCAATCCCTGGTACTGCAAAAAAAAAAAAAAAAAAAAAACTTCACACATTTGCACTTTGCCCATCTGTGTACCACCATCTAGTTTTGTTTTAAAT